TTGCGCAAGCACTGGTTGACGAAGTTGCGCGGGTAACCGTTTTCTCGGAAAACCCGTCGAAGATATTGGGATTCGGCAACCTTGTCTGCCGGTTCACTGCAATGCGTTTCAACACGCCGAAATAGCGTTCTTACGCAACTGCGTTTGTGGCAGATTGGGTGGTTACTGTTGAAGTTCAGAATTTGCGTCGTGTTCGTTGCTTTTCTGAACACTTTGGTCTTTAGGCCACCACAATCTTTGCGACAGACGAGGACATCAAGGAATGCCAGCTGGTTGTTCTCTTCCTCCTCCATCGTGAATTGTATGTCCGGGAAGACGCTGTTGAGACGTTCTTTGAACGTTAGCACCTGATCCCGTTCGATGACGACGAAGGTATCGTCCACATACCGAGCCCAGAATTTCGGTCTGTGGTGTTGGAGGACCAGCGACTCTAACCGCTGTAGCACCGCCTCGGCGATGAATCCCCAAATCGGCGAGCCCATTGGTGTTCCCTTCACTTGCTCGTAGATTGTTCCGTCAAACGTGAAGTACGTCCTGAGACAGAACTTTAGGAGCTGAAGGACTTGGGCATGTCCGAGACGATTCTCCGTTTCATCGTATTTGTTTCGTAGGAGTAGCTGGACGGTCTCAATTGCCAGATCCTGGGGGATAGAAGTAAAGAGGGACGTGACATCAAAAGATACCATGACCTCATTGGGCAAGAGACTTACTCCTTTAAGCTTCTCCAGGAATTGCGTTGACGAACAGACCGTGGTGTCCGAATCAGCGGTCAGAAATTTGAGGCGCCAAAACAGCCATCTTACCAGTCCGTACGTTGGAGTGCCTTTGAGCGAAACAATGGGCAGGAGAGGAGCGCCCTCCTTGTGCACCTTTGGGAGACCATAGAATCGGGCCAAAGCCGTTTCTTGAGCTCTTGCCAGAATAAAGACCTACAACCAGAATACTGGTTGTAGGTCTTTATTCTGGTGTCGATTTCCTTCAGTTATGAGGGGCCATGGTCAACTCGGCCCACAACTGCCTCCTAAACGGTTAAATGGCGAGATGTTTTCTACATAGACAAACTGTACTGGAAAATGCTTTCCAGGTTTATCCACCAAAACTCCCCTGAACTACGTGGGTCTGGTTGTCATCTGGTGGATTTTAGACGGATTACTTACAAAATCCTGCCTGATCAGTCAGTTTACTGCATCAGATTTGGTGGATTCCAGACATTGCAGTAGGTTGGGCGGGTAACTTGACCAATTGTGATCAAACCCACGTCTCCCGATGGGGTTTCGAAGCTTAGGTGGCTAGAGCATTGGCTGCACTAAAGTCTCCCCTTGTGGTCGATTCGAAGCTCATCGAGGCGCCGAGTTTCTCACAGTTGGGTCAGGACAAATTATCCTGATACGCTAGTTTCGGCAAACACAACGCCGTCGATTAGGAAACTCACAGACATTTCCATGATCCCCTTCCTTCATTCGCCTTTGTTCTCTACTGTTGGAAACGATGCTTACATCATAGATTGCATTATGCATGTTTTCACTATTTACGATTTTCCCACATAAAATATTGCTCCTTTTAAAATTAGTATTATCTTCGCTGCCTAGTCGTACTTTATTTTTATTCGAGTTCGCTTATTTGTCTACTTGTTTGTCAGTTTTGCCATTTGCTGTACGTATCATAGAGCAAGAAGAGCACTGGTGGGAAGGAAAATTGTTGAGAGACCACAGGAAACATTCCAAAAATGGAAACGTCCGGGGAAGGCTGCAGACGTAAAGGAAGCCTTAAGTGAAGAATTCTCTCTTAGGACGGGAGTAGCGATGTGTGTCAATAGACCCAGAAGCCCAAAGCCAGGCCAGATTACTAAGTTTAAAGACTAGCTCACGTGGACTTAACAGTAACGAATGGATGGTCATCCCGGTGGAACTTCACGCAGCGTATAAAAACCAAAAGAATGCATTGTTCGGATAACTCAAACACTGAATAGCTTAAGAATTTTAGTTCAGCTGATCTTTATACTGCCGATGGGTTAGGACTGTCGCACCGTTCCTGTACAGATGATTTCTTGAGCTGCAGACGTGTGACGTTGTCGGGATCTACTACATACTGAATAGTTTAACTGTTCTGATCTGTTCGAACGACAGCTGTTGGTTATTGCTACAAGCGGCAAGTGTTCAGAGTGGGGATTTTTCTGATTCTGTATTATTCTGGTAAGAACATTTAAGTGACTTCCGGTGCTATTAAGGAACGGCTGGTGATGTGGGACTGGGGCCGTTTTTATTTGTATGGTGCACACTCCTCCGAGTTGTCGTAAAAATACTGGAACTTCCTCCTAATGCCATATCGTTTCGATGGCTGATAAAGATAGAAGCTGTGAAAATTGCGAACTTATTATATCGTTCAAGCAACTAAAGTAACCTAAGAAAACCTACGGGCATCCCCTTCGAATACCAAGGAAGTTGGCGCAAGAGTTACTATTATCTAAGACAGCGAGCGTGTTGCTTATAGTTTGTGAAAAGTAAGCAGGAAAAAAACTGAGCGCGGATTTATTCACTGTTGTCATGAGAATTTCGTTTACCAGTTTCCATCTGTGGCCGATAAAATAGAAAGTGGTTTTCTAACTGCAACAAATTAAGATGATGAGAAAGTTGTTGTGTTAGCAGTGTCCTCCTGTGTCATGGGAACAGCAACATAGTTAGGACGGCGTCGTCGAAAGGTTTTTGGGATATTGCCTAGAGGTCCCAGCAGACCAGCATTTCGATGCTAATGAAATACCTGGAAAAGCAGGTGATTGGACAAGATTCTAGACAATCTATTACTGAAGTATATGGTTTTATGCACGAAGACTGTACGAAACCGATTTTTGTGAAACAGAAGTCCTCTCTGATTTTGTTCGTTGGCAATGCATAAATAAAACACGGTAGGACACGCCCGATAACCTTTTTACAATAACTATTATGTGCATTTGCATAACTATAAGACTGGTTTTTGCTATGACAATCGCAAAATTAGTGTTTATGTCGCAAATAATGTAGATGGACGGGCTTTTGGTGCGCTGGTACCGGCGCTGCAAGTATGTTATCATGTAAAACTAAAATGAACATTTTTTAGGAGTTATTAACTTTTGTGCGACCGAATTGACACGAAAAACCGATATATGCCGCAGCC